TTATTCCTGGAAATGGAGGCAGGGTTTTTCTATTACAAAGATGGATGCACAGTATAGGAGAGCATTAAAAACATGTATAGGTGAACTAGCAAAAGTCAGGATGCTTTCCAGTTCAAGAGTGGATCAGCATCATAGGACAAGGGTAGTAACCCATAAGTGCTCCATTCTACTTCTAACTCGAGTCTGTCCAAAGAATTTCAGCATAGTTCATGAACTCTGAAGCACCGGCGAGGATCCTGAACTACTTTGGGTATTTTTAACTCCAAATTTTGTCAGGGCAGTGCCGTTAGACTACTCTTTTTGATTTTCAACTGCCAAGGGATTTTTTACGCCAGTATTTTTTGATGGTGGTTACATTTTTAACGACCAGATCTTCATAATTGATGCAAGGTAGATCAGTGAAATAAGCCGTGAACTCATTTCACAGATTTTTGGCATTAATTTATTTTATTTACAAACTGCATCTATTATATGAAGGATTAAAGTATATATGTACTGACTGAACTTGTTCAGTGTATTATTATATGTTAAGAAATGACTGACAGCCAAACCAGAAACAGATGATTTCACTAGTTTACAATGAGAAAGTAGAGGACCCTTCTGATGCCATTGACAAATTGGGCATTGGATGCTGGACTCATATTTTTATAGACCAAGCAGTACTTGAGAAGTGATGGGGAACATTTAGATTAAGCCTTTCCATTGGCGTACAAAAACTTTGAAGAGATAATTTATGATATTTTAAATATATGTATATTCACACAGCTGTAAGGAAAAGACAAGCACTGGTCATGTGATGAAGAGGGAAGTTTTGGGAAATATTGTGATGACTTGGAAGATTAAATTTGGAAGAGGCAGACCGAGAGAGATAATGATGGATGGATTGTGATGATGGTACAGAGGGATGTTATCGGTGGAACCGATCCAGAGGAGAAAAAAAAAACCAAGATCTGTTGACATGCATGAATGCCTAAACCAGTCGGCAAGGCATGTGATGATGATGATGTAAAACGTATGTGCATGTAAAAGATGAAAGTCCAGAAGTGGACGAATAACCAGAATTTTCTGCCGGCATTTACAGCCGGTAAACGCAAAGAAAAAAGAAGATATACATGGCTAAAGGGACTATCTCTGAACCCTTAAAAAACTATCCAGTTGGGAGCCTCAGCCCACCCCCACCATCCGCCACCCTTAATGTTTTGGGTGAGGCCACTTAAAGACCTGAGATCCCCCACCCAATTAATTGCTTTGAGCGTGAATGAGGGTTGCCCAATGTTTTCTTACATTATTTGGGTGGGAGGGGTCTCCTGTAATTCTTCACATTACATCGTAGACATGGGCTGTGAATATTTCTGTCTCTTTACTTCATTAATAATAGACATGCACATCAGATGTTTTGTGGAATTGTCTACTCTCTCATATTATCTTCTGAGAAGGTGGATGTGACTTTATGTTTCCCTCTGACATCTGTCTTATAATTGGTCCTAGTTATCTTGTTTTATGACAAAGGGACCTTCCCATGATAACACCAGCATACTTTCATTTTTTTTTGTTTTGGTGGGGGGAGGGGGTGGAACTTCAGTAATAGTACATGCTCACCCACTTGAAATACTCCATCTTCGGTTTTCCTGTTATAGTATGCTGCTTGTTTCTTCCTGGCTTTTCTCAGATTAGACATCTCCAAGTCTCATCCCAACTTCAGTTTGTTTTTCAACTTTTCAATGTAAACGGGAGTGATTTTCATAACCTTGTCTTGTCTACTGGATGTCCAGGTCTTTTTGAGAAGATCAAGAGGTTCAGCAGTGGGTCTACAAAAAAAATAAAATTGCAGGTGGGAATCCGGTTGAACTTTGTCACTCATGACGTTTAATATAGAATGCTTACAGCATTGAAAATAACACAACATGACACCCCTAGAACATAGGACAGCCCGTGGGAACATCAATGGGAGCTGACACAAAACCTTGCACTTGGCAAGATGTGGGTATGTTTGTGATATTTAACTAAATTTTCTTTTAAATTGTGTATCTCTGTATGAAAGTTGACGGTCAGCAGCCTAGATGATAACTATACCTGACACTGAAAGATTTGTGCAATTAGGAGAGAAGATGCGGGTGAAATAGAATCCCCTTTGGGATTAATTAGGGTAACACTGATTGCTCAGAAGTAGTGACAATCTTGTCAGCAACAAAGGCGTCACTTAGAAGAGATATTAATCTATTATTAACTGGCATGACAGTTAAAGCACGAGAAACATTAGAACTGGAGGTACAGACATTCATCTTTAGGTTAGATGAAGCGAGACCAACCGAGGAGAGATAAGAAGGAACAGGCTGATGGATGGCAGAGGTTACAGATTACCTGGTTTCGAGTAGAATGGAGATTACGAGAACAGAGATAGAGGGGAAGCTGAAGGACAGGGTCAGTGAGGTCGACGAGGCGGTCAGGCCAGAGGTGTTGAGCTAAGAAGTCTTAGACAAGGACTGTAGCTTGTAAACATAGCAGTTTACTGATGGCCGAGGAGTTAACGAAATAGAAAGAAAATAGTAGACTTGTAACTGAGATATACTTAAAAGGGAACCCAGCATAAACTACAATAAAGAAGAGGGATAGTCATAATTCATGCTAGAAGTACTTGTGAAGTAAACACCACAGCAAATTATACTGAGGTGTTCGTCTTCATGGTTTCATTTAAGTCACTGTTGTGTAAATGAGCCTATTGTTATGTTTTGATAATAAACAATCTTAACTTCCTGTGAATTGTTGAATCAAGCCGTGTTGTTAGACACCATAGATTATTCTTCAAGGATTATTTTATTACCATATCCGTTAAGGCACAACTGATTGAGCTCGTGGATGTGGAAGACTAGATCGTATCACATCTATATATTTCATATTTTTCACATACATTTTTATATTTATTTGCCATTCAGCACATTTATTAATTACTATTAATGAATTTGCTGAATGGCAAATAAATATAAAAATATACTTTAAATAATATGAAATATATAAACAAATGCTTTCAAAGAACATGCCTGTATAAACATAAAGTCAATCTCTTAGTACCTCTACAAAATAATTAACCGGGGGGGGGGGCTGAGCGGTTTTTCCCTCCCCAAATTTTCCGGGAGAAAAGGGACTCCAGAGACTTAAGCCCCCACACCCCCTCCCTCGGTTGCGGCATTTATGCCTATGCCACAGTTCCCTTCCTCGTCATTCGTCTTACTTTTCCTAAACTGTTTCTTCTTTCTTACCAACTTTTTCTCTTCCTCCTAATTTCCTAGTCGGCTCTGTGGCTAAGTCGATGCTAACGCTTCGTAATGCCGTGGTGCCGGGTTCGATCCCAGCTGCTGGTCATGCGCCTTGCGTTGGTTTCGACAGTGGTATCAGGGGCCCTACAGCCCAGAAGCAATGGCAAACTACTGGACGTAAATTTGCCCAGAGAAACCACACAACAGCCAGGGGCTGCTGGGGTTGGTTCTGCAACGTCCTGTAAAGGACTAAGCGACCGTCGCCTTCCAGCTAGGGACCGTTATTTAAAGGAGAGCCAATATGTCTGGTAATAAATAATACTATTCATATACAACCAAAATGTAAAGGATACGCAACTAACCAACCAACCATAATTTCCTACCCCTTTAAAACTACCTTTCCTAACAACTATCATACACTTCTGAGAATTGGCTAGCACCATTATGATTAAACTAGGCCTACGAATACTCAGCAGTTAATATACTCAGATTTCTCTTGCCGTAGTAGTATAGCTGTCTGGACAGCCGCTTGTGTCACCAGTATAAAACAAAGAAGATGGCGTTTTACTGGGTAAAGACTGAGAAAAAAAACGTGCAGAAAATTACCAGACCGGCTTTTCCATTTATGAAAAACAAACCAAGAAATCGACCACGTTCAACCTGCTGCGAGCTGATTCGGTTATAACTGTGTCTGGTTTCTCTGTGCCAATTATGTTGGCTAACAAATGTTAATAGCACTAGAACTAGTGGCTTGGGCTTGTACTCTAGTACCTAGTGAGGGTTGATGGAGAAGGGGCTGGTGTGCACTCTACACACCCACACACATATGTAGACATATATGTTCAATTCAATGCACGTCTGCGGACCCACATGTAAATGCACGTACGTATACGTGTTTGCATACACGTCCACTTTCAAGTCCGTTCAACCTGTATCACACACATGTAGGCTTTTATTTACACACAGGCCCAAGTGTCTGCATAAACACACATCATCATCATCAGGTGCCTTGCCGACTGGTGTGGGCGATCATGCCTCTCCATAATCTGCGATCTCCTGCAGCATGTATCAGTTCGGGTGCCGACACACCTCCATGCCATGCAACAAGACCGTCAAGCATCTTCTCTCGTTGTCTTCCTCTATCCCCTTTTCCACATATCTTTTCAGTGGTCACAACATGTTCTATTTTCCCTCTTCTCATAACATGGCCGAAAAATGATGACTGTCTCCTTCTGATGTCTGTGATAAGTTGTCTTCGGGCTCCCGCCTCTTTCATAACCTCTTGGTTGTTCTTTTTGGCTGTCCAAGGTATTCTAAGCATTCTTCTGTAAAACCACATCTCTGAGGCCTCTAAAAATTGTTTGGCCTGCCTACCGATTGTCCAGGACTCACAGCCATATGTTAAAACTGAATGTAATAAAGACACATATGTATGTATTTACGCAAGGGAGCCGCCGTGGTGTGGAGGCCAGACTCTCGTCTGTGGAAGGCAATGGTTTCAGATCCTGACAGAGCCGGACTTTTTTGTTTCCCCACTGTAGGTTTGCTATGTTATATGACTTTGCGCACTATATGACGTATAACAGCAACACAGAATGACGATCAAAGCGGTATTGTGCTAAAATATTTACGTGTGTTACCTAAATCTCGTTTTGGACCTGGCACTGTTGCCATAGAGATGTTTACACATGGCGACACGCAGAGGAAATAACAGAGTAGACCACGATTTGAGAATATCTGACGAGAATGCCGGGTTTGTCGTTGTTTCCATATAAGAATACATTGTTATTGTTAACAGATGCTCATAGAATGGCACATATTTTTTGAGACACAGGGATAAAACCAGATACAAATCAGTTTTGTTTCCGCTTTAAATTAAAGAGGAAATAAAAAGAAAAAGTTCAAAATTCAAAATGAACAATTAATTAAAGTTTAATTGTTCGTTTTGAATTTTGAACTTTTTATTCGACGTTAGCATGGGTAATGTATATTATTTATTATAACAGTATTGTTATTAATCTTATTTGATTAATTAATAATACTCAAATATGTCGGCTCTCCTTTAAATAACGGTGGTAAAGAGGGAACGAAACAAATGACATACTTACCTGTCATGCTACGGTTGCTTAGGGTTAGGCTGGGCTTAGGGTTTGTGTTAGGGTCAGGGTTTGCGTTACGGTCAGGGTTTGGGTTAGGGTAACACATATAGCGTCGAGTACTTACCCATAATAACGGCCGCTATATGTGAAATTGTTCTTGTTTTTGATCCGTGACTTGTCCACTCCGTATTTGCACTGCAGCCAAGGGAGTGAACTCGACTAAGCGACCGTCGCCTTCCAGCTAGGGACCGTTATTTAAAGGTGAGCCAGTATGTCTTTGGTAATAAATAATACTATTCATATACAACCAAAATGATGAGGGAATTAAGGGAGATGCGGAAGCTGCTGCTCGTGAGTCCCAGCCATCTAGTTAAGCCCCGCTCCGCGCCACGCGTAGCTGCATAGGAAATACTCTTGACGGTGGCGGTAGTCACTGGAAGTTGGCAATTTAAGTCACCGGAAGTGCGTAATTTACATGTGACTGAGGCCCAGTCAGGGTGTGTTTTTGGGCGCCATAATATGTAGCCGTTATTCAGTGGATAGCCGAATTAAGTTTAAATATTAGAATTATTTAATTAATAATTGGCTATCCTCCTGATAACAGGCACAAAAGATGGCGGTAAAAAAAACAGGACCTCGGTCACGTGTCGATTGCGCACTTCCGGCGACCTAATTTCCGGTTTTCTGGCGATTACCACCACAGCCGAGAGTATCCCCCACGGCACTCACAAGGCGTGGATTGGGGCTAAACTAGATGGCTAGGACTGACAAACAAAGCTGCAGGAGATGCGGAAGCTGCTCTGTTAGGGTATTTTTGCGGCTGCCATCTTTTGTGCCCGTTATTCAGAGGATAGCCTAATCATTTTAAGAATAGAGGAACCTACATAGCATGCTTGCTTTACAGCCAGATGGTCGTGTGTTTGATTCGCGATCAAGATGATATTTTTGTTCTTTCTTTCGACCCTGACAGGTACCTCTATAACTAGCTGATTTCTAAGTATTGTAATAATGGATAGTTGTTTAGATCTAGATGGGTGAAATAAATGATGAGTTGTGTTATCTTCACTACACTCTGGACACAACTATTGGGTGACTTCACATACCCCCCTTCAACATATACCTCACCCTGTCCCGCTGTTCATAGTGCTAGCTCTGTGCTGGTTGACAAGACCTCCTATGTCTGATGTGCTCTTATGTCTGGCTATACCAGTTTTATTTCCCATTTCTTGCATTCTTAGCAGTGGTGTAGGTGCGTTTATTCCAAAATTATTCAGTCATCCTCTACCACCAAAATGCATTAACAGGGTCAACACTGTCCATAGACCAGTCATCTGTAACTATGGCAGAGCCACCTTATCTTAAACTCCTTCATTGCCACTACTATCTACATCCCCTATAAAAAAAAAAGATCAAGGTTGGTCAGCACATTGTGAATTTTGAGGGGGTGGGGTGGGGGGGGGTGGGAGGTTTAAATAATACTAATGAACAAAGTAGCAAACTGGGCAGCAAGCATTTTTACAACAGCTACACAGAGAACACAGTGTTTAGAAAAAGAAACGAGCATGTAAGGACTAACCATTAAATGGGGAAAATTGTTTATAACTTTTTTTGGTTTCCGAATTCTCTCAAAACAACCTTTTCTCAAGACAGTATATATCGCACCCTCACTGTAAATTAAACACAACATGCCCACTGTTTTTTATGGGCAAATGCAGAAGAGGAAGAAGAAGTTGCTTCACACTGTTTAACCACATATAGTTTGAGAATGGAGGTAGAGGCAGTCACAGCAGCTTTCTGCTAGATTGAGAACCAATCTGCGCACATGTCAGGAGTGTAACCAACTCATAAAGTATGTTAAGAAATGTGCAGACAAACATCACTTCAGAATTCCCAGGTAGTTAGCTTTCTTTGCATAATTTCTCAGGAGTTTTTGGAAATGAACAGGCAGTCAAATTCACTGATTCTGCATCAATGGATGGTAAATTATTGCATGGCAAGCTAGAGGCACTGAAGGTCCTTTGCAAGCAATGAACAGTGTGAAGGTGGGAATAGATTTTCATGATCTGCAAAGGACAGTACAGCTAAGAGTGACCAGGGGATCTGGTCGACACCCCAGAATTATAGCAAAGGCAAGATGGACTGGCTGCTGAAGATGAAGATGGGGCACTCATGGGAATTTCCAGTGTGCTTTGATGTCATTTCTTAATAAGCAGTTAGCAACACTGAAACAGTTTTAAAATGTCTGAAGACTGCTCTGATTGATGTGCAATGTTTTACATCCATGATTTAAATCTTTCAGGTGAAAAACATGAAAAGAAGAAAGAGAAAGCTACCCCGGAGGAGAATTCAGGCTGTCCATTGGCACCAGTTGTGTTCATGTTCCCAAATGGAGACAGATATGGTGAGTAGTAATCATGGCTGCCTGTGTGTATTCCAAGCAGCCCCTGTTTTTCCAATAGTTAGTGAGTACTATATTTCTCAACCGATGACATTACTGTCATCCAAACAATTCGATAATTACACTTGTATGTTTGTTTACTGCAACTTGCTTACATATGTGTCAATATTTTGTTAACCTTACTGGGGACAATTAAAATATTTACCTGAGATTACAATTTACCCAACTGTCTTTTTTAATAGAGTATAAAGTAAAAAGTATAAAACCCTTATATGGCCAGTTTTGGCATCAGGAATATGATGATAGATTCATACAAGGGAAAGTCAATAAGTGAGTCATAAATGGTTATGGGATGGCAGGAAAATGTAGCTAGTGGCTTCTAAAAGTGTCATTAGGTCACAGCAACATTAAACTCTATGTCTCTGTTCGTTAGGTGGCGCTAGGTGTTGCATGCGCATTCGCAACACAGAAGCAAAATGGCGACTGTACTTAAGGAGTGTACCCTCGAAGAACAACGTATAGTTGTGCATTTTTTGGGGGGACATTCATAAGGATGAAGGAGAGGATATGGTGAACAGGATTATTACTGTGGATGAATGATGGAAACATCCTTCTTTGCATTGTGATAAAAAAAATTCAAGGTTACACCATCAGCAGGGAAGGTTATGCTGACAGTGTTCTGACATTGTCAAGGAGTGCTTTTAACCAGTTTTAAAAAAAGGTGACAATGTTAATGCTCATTCATATTGTAAAGTTTTATTGATGCTTCGTGATCCAATTTGAAGAAAACATCCAGGCCTGCTGATTAGAGAAGTACTGCTCCTTTATGCTCACCACATATGACTCGATTAACTCAGGAGAAAATAAACCATCTAGGGTGGAACTTCTGGAACATCCAACTTACAGTCCTGACTTAGCCTCTAGCGATTTCAACCTTTTGGTAAACTGAAATTTAAAAATAAAGGGAGAGTATATGTGTGAAAATAAATGGTTTTCAAGTTATTGTCTTCATTCGTTTTTTTTTTTTTTCAACAAAAATATGTTACTTACTTATTGACCCCCTCTCATATTTTGGTACTAATCATTAGAGTCACTCCATCTCGTCCGCACACACGATTTCATGCCGGCTCACATTCATGTCGTGCCAGTTCCCACGTGCTTTCCTAAATCGTGGGAGTGTTACGATGTGGTTTGCTTTGCCATGTGTACACACCCTGTCAGAATGTGGCTGCTGTAGATTTGATTTTGTACTCAATTTTTTGTGAACAGTAGGCATCAAAGGAGGAAGAAGTAATGCAGAGGGAAGCGCCGAAGGTGCAATGCTTTTTGAATATTGACGGTGGCTGTAAACACTTGTGGATCTGTTTGAAACAGTCAAAATGGGGCAACATGACACCTTTAGAATATAAGAGTGTCTCAGGAAATCCTCTAGGAAATTAGGCGGCTGTCAAGATGGGGTGACTTTTGTGATTTGTACCTATGTTTTTATAGACCAGTTGACACTCGGTGAGGGAAGGAGTCGGCATCAAGCCAGCTTCCCATAATATTTCCTGGTACGCATTTTAGGCTGGATTTATCTAGAGCCAAATTTTTTTTTTTTTTTAAATTCACCAGCAAAATGAGTGAAGTAGTAAATAGTAACAATAAAAAAATTACTATAGTGGACTGATGTATGATTGAAGAGAACAAGTTAAGCTACAAAATCCAAACACTCATGTACATGCCTACACAGGAAGAGTGAGAAAGGACCCTTTTCACACTTTTGGCACCTCATGTGGAGCTAGGCCTATATTTTATGTCCCTCAGCATTTAATATGTCCTGGGTTTGCCAATGATGGCTAGCAGACACAAAGTCGCATAGGTCAAGGCGTACATGATGGTATCAGCAGATGTTAACCACCCACTGCACAAAGCTATACACGAAACAAACAAAAATGCGTCTCAAAAGAGGCCACTCCTGGATGGCAAAGGCTGAAGATTTAATTCAGCAAGTATGTGCCTAGACAAGATCAGTCACGGAAAAGTATGGACGGATAAACCAGTAGACATACATGACATCTCTAAAGTTGTCATCACAAAATATTGCACTCGGAAAGTATTGCAGGGATCAGATTCCTGCGGCCGTAAACACAGAGGTAAGGGCACTGACAGGTGAGCATTCAGACCCAGAATATATTATATCTACACAAATGGATCACTGAAACTTGAGTCAAGGTCAGCATGGGCATAAAAACTGCAAAAAATGGGGAAAACAAAACAAGAAGACAGCGGCACTTACCAGACAACCACTTAAAGCATGACCATGGAGATGCCTGCTACTTCTAGAGCACTATCCTGGGTATCCGAGCAACACAGGTAGTAATTGTATCACACTCCATGAGCATGCTTCAGAAGATAGCAACTGGCTGTATGCACTCTGAATGGGTAGAAAGCATTCAAAAATCGCACTTAACCTCCCTCGCCTGGATCTACACACCTGGTCATGTTGGCGTAAAGGGTAATGAGCAAGCAGACCAACTGGCAAGCAGTGTACCAACGCATTTGGGAAGAAGCATGGACAGAGCAGATATCATTACTGTTGTACGGACTGGAGTAGTGGCTAATGAGGAATCCCTGACACTAACAAGATTGCATGACGTGGGAGTAAAGCATAGTGAAGCACGTCTCTGCTGTTTTCGAGGCTGAGATAGGAGACAATACAACCAGCTTCTCATGGTTACAATTAGTAGAAGTACCTTGGAGTGGCTACTGCATCGGAGGTCTGAGTATGCATGGGAATGCCCAGTCTGCAGTAATGTTGACTGTGATAACATAACGTAGCATATAACATAACATTGGTGAAAGAAGAAGAAGGTAATGTGTTCAAAATCGTGCCTACTGACTTAACTTCCAAGAATATTTTCTGGTACTCATTTTAGGCTGAATCAATCTGGAAGCTGTAGATCAGTGACACGAAATCTGCCTTGATGAATCCAAGACCACCAGGCTTGTAGGCAACCCTCCTCTGATTGACCTCCCCCCCCTCTGTGATAACCTCCTCCACTCACTACCTCAGCTTCTAAAATAAAGACAAATATTCTAAAGATGTTTAAGGTCGTGAAAGAAGAGGATCCAATATATGATAATAAGTAAAAAGTTAAAACTGATGTTTTCTCTTTTCAGTAAAGATATTGTTGTGATAACATTTACTCACAATGAATGAAGATTAACATAGTTTTTTGTTTTTAAAAACAGTAGGTGTAAAATTATGTTTGAAAAAAACAAAGATAAAAATATAGAAAATTGTTCTGATAATGTTTTGCAGAAGGTGAATTAAGACAATAATATTACAAATAAGTATGTGTAAAAATTATTTTGGTGAATGCTCAGAGTCATTATACAAAAACTAGTAGGTGCAAATATATTCTGTAATTAAAAAGAAAACAATTATCAATGCTGAATGCTGTCCTAATGTTTTTTTTTTTTTCACAGAAGGTGAATCCATTGTTGTTGATGGTGACTCAGTGGAGCGATCGGGTATAGGCACACACATCACATCAACTGGAATCATCTACCAAGGCTCATGGGATAAGGACAGAATGAATGGCAAAGGGAAACTGGAACATCCTTCAGGTGCCTCATATGAAGGAGATTTTCTGAACAATATGTTTCATGGGCAGGGAAAATACACATGGCCAGATGGGTCATTTTATGAAGGCCAATTTGTAGAAAACAGGTATGTTTTTGTGCATGCGCTGAAAGAACTATTGAGCCTTCTTTTTCTTTTCTTATTTTTCCCCCACCAGTCTGTTGGACACTCTTTGGTGTGGTGAAATATCCTTTAAACCCACCATTAGAGAAATGTGAAACTGGGAGCAGAGGGTGTGGGGGGAGGACTGAACTTGATAGCAGCTGAAATATTGATGTTTATTGTGGTCTCAAGTTCACCTTGACTAGCAGATGATCACTTTATAGTGAACCACTCTTTCTCATTCTTTCTCTTTTTTCACCAACATTCACCACCTCTCTCATTATCTCTTCATTCTGTCTCACTGTGGTATTCAGCCGCTTACATTCTCACTCATCTCATCTTTCTTTCGCACTCTAATTTTTCATCCTTTACCCTTTCATGTCTCTTTCTCTCTGTCCATTTCTCTCACTCTCTCTTACATTCCCTCTCTCTCTCCCTATCATTTGAATCTGCTCGTGCAAAATTAAAAACATTCTAGACAAAGCTAAGATGTCATATATGTTACAACATCAAAGTGATTCAATAAGTATTGAATGAGTCAGATCCTTTGTGGCCAGTTATATCACAATGATACCCAGTACGTGTTAGCTGTAATCTGAGGGCATTCCTAGAGTTGTTCTTTGCCCCTGCCCTCCATTTTTTCTCTCTTTTTCTCTGTTTTTCACTGTCAGTCTCTTTCTATTTTCTCACTCTTTCATTCCGCCTGTCTGTCTGTCTGTCTCTATCTTTCACTGACTGTCTCTTTCAGGGTTTTTTTCTTCTGACTCTTATTCTGTCTCTTACATCCTTTCTCTTTCACACTATTGGTTTCTATCACCCATTAAATCTCTCACTCTGTTTCACTTCATCTGCTCACACTCCCCCCACACACACACATATACACACATGCACGCACATGCACACGCGCATGCACACACACACACACTATTTGTACTTAAAGCATACATAAAGATAGAACTGACGTCATTGCATCACGTATTATCCCATATGGCTTGCCCTCTCTCCACTGAGCAGCTGGTTGTCTTAACAAGAATATTGCACAAAGCTTGAACCACCACAGCTGCAGTGATGAGCCCCAATAGCCTTTAAAAACATCCGCAGTTGTGAACCAAAAGATGGAGCCCAGAAATTAATCCATCATTGTCCACGTGGGTGGGTCCCAGTGTCCCAATTTTGAGGGGAAAAAGAATATACATGCTACCACTTAACAAGCATGTCAGGAAAGGCAATCAGGGATTCTGCTGAAATTGCACACACTGGGCCAGAAGATGCAAATATCACAGCCTAGCTGTAAACCACAACACAACATGCCACCATCCATTTAACTCTTTCAGTTCCTAACAAGGCACCATATGTGCCTGCATTTACTCATCTGCACCAGTCAAAATATCATTATGCTTATACATTTTATGTTTAGACAGGACATAAAAAAACACCCAACAACATACAAGACTCCTATGAGGATTGTGTATTTAGCCCCTCAGGATGAAGTATACCCAATATTTCATTGCTGTCACTGTTGCTTCATGACCAACTATGACCTCCTGGGACTGAAAGAGTTAAGAGTGAACAAAGAAGTAGAGAAACCCATAATCTTCATAATACAAGACAAATACTTCACAACCTCACCATTTAATTTTAATTGCTAGCTATCCTTTTCTATTTCGAAATCTCCTTGTTAACTGCTGGAGATCATTGTTGGTACTTTCTGTCTTTCTGAATGAGAATATTCCTGTGTGCTGTAGCAAGGCAATGAGAGAACGAGAGTGAACTAGCAAGAACTGCTCATATTACAGATGTTAGGACCGTTGTTGCCATCACATGCAATTGAATCTCAGCTCCTTACCTGTCTGCAATTCTTTTCTTATTTTTCTTTTTTCTTTCTCAATTATTAAAGTGGAGATCATAAAGTTTGGAAATATATTATTTGTGAAGTACTTTGTTAGTATGATAAATATACAGTGGTGATAAAAAATCAGATGGCTAGAGTATATGAAAGAGCTGTGTAATGATAAGTGCAGATCAGCAAAAGACAGTCACGACCGATGTGAAAGACCACTAATATTGAAAGCAGATGCTATACAACAGATGTAGAAATCCCCAGGACCAGATGACCTCACTGTTGAAAAATGAAAACTGTTGGTGAACTGGGTATAGAAACATAATGCAGTTGTTCAGTGTTATCTACATCAGTGCACATATACCTGATGACTTTTTCTGAGATGTTTTTTTTTTTTTTTTAAATTCCTCAGCCAAAGAAACTTGGTACAGTAGATTATAGAGAACATGGCAGTTTCATGAAATTTATTGCACGTTGAAGTTTATTATATTTGAATAATTTACTTTTCCCTCTCCTAGACTTGAAGGTGAAGGAACATACACAGACACAGAGGGACAAGTTTGGTTTGGCACTTTCCACTACAAGACAGCGCCTGGTCTTAAATTTAAGCTGTCCATGGACTAAAAGTTGTTTCTCATTCTTTCAGTGTGTGTTATCTTATGTCCACAGTGTTGTCTTCTGGAAAAACTGTGTATTTGGAAAAATAGAGTTTAACACTGACATGTGGAAATTGTGTTGTAGTTTACAACTAGGCTGTGATATTAGTCCAATTCATCATATTTCAGCCAACGTCTAATTGCTCACCTTTTACAACATGCTTGTTAGACAACATTGTTTTTGTTGTGTGTTTTTTTGTGTCCTCTAAAATGGATCCCAGAACCCATACATGAAACCACATTTATCAAGTATAACAGACACTAAACAGTTTTTGATGATAACCTGACTTTGTTATCTGAGCGTAAAGCTTGATCAAGCACGTCTAAGTGGTCTCGGAGGTCAATATAAGAGAGACTTTGTTATCTGGGCGTAAAACTTGATCAAGCACGTCTAAGTGGTCTCGGAGGTCGACATAAGAGAGACTTTGTTATCTGGGCGTAAAACTTGATCAAGCACGTCTAAGTGGTCTCGGAGGTCGACATAAGAGAGACTTTGTTATCTCGACATAAGGGCGTAAAAGCTTGATCAAGCACGTCTAAGTGGTCTCGGAGGTCGACATAAGAGAGACTTTGTTATTGGGCGTAAAACTTGATATCTGGGGAGGTCGACATAAGAGAAAGCGTAAAGCTTGATCAAGCACGTCTAAGTGGTCCCGGAGGTCGACATAAGAGAGACTTTGTTATCTGGGCGTAAAGCTTGATCAAGCACGTCTAAGTGGTCTCGGAGGTCAACATAAGAGAGACTTTGTTATTTGGGCGTAAAGCTTGATCAAGCACGTCTAAGTGGTCTCGGAGGTGGACATAAGAGAGACTTTTTAATTAATCTTGGTAAAAGCGGCAATTAATAATCCCCATCCCCATGCTGGATGCAATTTTTGGTTATTTTAAAGCCCCACTCTGTCTGTTGTCAGGACCCTTAATATGACCCAGCCTATGGCTTCTGGGATCTGTCCCTGGATAATCATTGTCCGAATGGTGGGACTTTGTGTCAGCGGGAGTTTATCGCTTGGTGTGATGTCCTCATGGGGTAAAACGTCGATCAGTCACGCTGCAAGAAGTTCTGTAGGATGGCTGCTGCATCAGAAATATGCAGCATAAAATATCTCAGGTTCCTCTAAGGCCATTGAAACAGCGAGATGAACAAACTGACACTTGACATTCAGGGGGAAAGTAGAAGAGATAGGAGGACACATCAGACAACATAACATTTGAAAGCTTTAGTTACCACACTGAGAATCGAACCTGTTACACCAAAATGACGGCAAAGCTCTCAGCAAGAACAATTTACTTTAAGTCATGACTAATTAGTACTTACCTCTCTATAAGGCCCAGTCCATTTGACTTGGTGGCCACCAGATAGTTTACCGCAACGAGCAAATAGTTTACCGCAACGAGCAAATAGTTTCGCAAATAGTTTACCGCAACGAGCAAATAGTTTACCGCAACGAGCAATAATGCACAGACCAAGTGCGATGAAACAAACGTCAGACGAATTGTTCTTCAACTTTTTTTTTCCACGCTTGTAAAAGGTAAAGACCTTTTTCCACTCCTTTATTGGGCATATAGGGCTAGTCCTATATTGTATAGACCAATCGGCTCTCGGTGGGTGATATGATTAGCATCACGCCGGCCGCCTTGACTTCCCGGGACTATACCTGGTACCACTCAAGGCTGGGTTGACCTTGGAGCCAAAGCCATTTTTTAAAAACAGTCCACCTCCAGCTGGACCCTAACCCGCGCCATTCCTATCGGCAGGCGAGCGCCTAGCCTTTACACCCCGGCTGCTTCTGTTCACACCTGTAAGTAAAGTAAAGGACCCTGTTCCACGCCTTAAGGCATATAGGGCATATAAAGCTGGACCTATATTTTATACACCAACGGCACAAGATGGGTGATGTGGTTAGTATCACGCCGGCCGCCTCTACTTTCCAAGACTGCACCCGGTACCCACTCAAGGCTGGGTCGACCTGGGAGCCAAGGTCATTTTTTGAAGAAAAGTCCGGCTCCGCCAGGGAGCGAACCCACGACCTTCCGATCCGCGGCGCGCGTCTAGCCGCTCGGCCACGGCGACTCCCTGTTCACACCTGTGGACCGAGGAAAAAAAAAAGATTATCATGTCCTTCTAAAATAATATCCAACCTTCCTGTGTTGGTTCTGGAGTCATTTTGATGGGAGAAAATAATAGACCCACTCTCCATAATAAGCATGTCGTAAAAGGAGAAAATCAGGGATTTTGCCTCAAAAGTCGACCCGATTCTGTATGAACGGTTAGGAGCCAACAGTCAGCATGCAAATAGACCAGACTTGTAAAGCGGGTGTGCACGCAGCATTCAAGTTCTGTAACAAGACTATAGTCCAGAAATATGCGAATAACCATAACTTTCCCCCTAGTTTTCTGGCAATTAATACTTTTTCTTCTACAGCATTCCGAACCCTTAAGGTTCATTGCTGCAGATATCATCCGCCTCCATTCATCTCTCTGGTTGGCCCTCTCTTTCCAGTTGGTGACACCAAGTGTTTGCAGGTCTGTCTGGATATTATCTCTCCATCAATGAATACTTAGAAGAGGAAAATATCCACCCACTTGTCCCGTTTGGTTTTCCAATTACCAACTTTACTAAAGTAGGTCATGGGTTTCCAGTGTAGTTGCCACATAACTAAACTGAAATTTTTGACGGACCGGCAGGTAGTTTCCGCAGACCGCCGCTAGTCCATGGACCTAACAAGGCTGGTTAGGAGCTCTGAGGCAGCGGTCGACAGAGGGAACCCTGGCTACTGGCACACAGTCTAGCACCCTCTCGATGCTTGAACATCATCTGGACATCTCAGTGTGGAAAATGGCTAACATGTGTTGGGCTTGTGTTTTCTTAAAAGTGTTCTTTCGTCTGTGTCAGTTTCCTATACGCCATCCTTCTGGAAAAAAACTGCTGACAAAAACCTGCCGCCATTCTTAACTGCTTGACATCCACGCACGTATGTGTTTATAATGACACACGTAAACACCATTGCGGTCCCCTCCAGCTAGAATAAAAGGTCGCCTGCCACTTGTACTTATAGCAGCCAAGAAGAGGCCAGCATTAGGGTCCAGTTATAATTGACTGATGACTCAAGCCGATATAATAACTGATGACTCAAGCCGATACAATTAATCAATAGACGGAAAGGTAAACGGCCATGCTTTTAAACGGACAGGACGCTACTACGTCCTCGGACGAATGAAGAAGATAATCATTGATGACTCATATCAAAAGTGGTTAGTGCTTTGTAGGAGAGCGTACACAGTCCGGGGAGCTGGCTGCTGAAGATGGGGACGGAGCACTTATGGGAATGCTCTGAGTGCTGTGATGTCGGTTCTTGAAACAAATATTTAAAAACCAGTGTTATGGTTGCTTTATTCGGTTCCTTTTATTTGCTCACTGTTAAGGCGTTCTCTCATCACCACCATCGTAACCATCATTGTCTCATCTCACCTTGATCCTCCTTGATGTGCTGCAGATGGCTCTATGTTAAGGCGCAGACGAAATGCACGGGGGTTTATAGCAGAAGTGAATGGAGGTCGCTTAGTGCATGCAACAAAGCCTCCACAACGTCTAGTTTGAGACTGGAGATGGAGGCAGTCACTGTTGCCCTCCGCTTGCTTGAGAATCTGTAAACACATGGCGTGATTGTAACTGACTCACAGAGCATGTTGAGTAAGCATGCTCCATGCAGAGTGGCAGGCATCACTTCACGCGTAGTTTGCATCCTTTGGATATTTTCTCCAGGTGTTCTCCAGTGTGTTGGAAAATGAGCAAACAGACTAACAACGACAGTGAAATTTATACAAGAGACGAAATTGCTGATATAGACAACTTATTACAGGCGAACGAAAGAAGAAGAAGAAGAGCAAGCAGATAGGCTGGCCGGTTCTGCACCACTTTGTGGTGAACTAATGTATGACAATTTGCATTCAATATTTAACATTTAGGTGATGCATGCACTGCAGGGCATTGCTATCGTTATAGAAAATGAACTAGAGACTGTAAAAATACTGACTCTCTTAAAAGAATCCGCTCAGAAAACGGGACTAGTTATCAGTCAAGATAAGACAGAATAGATGATAATAACTAGACAGTGAAAGGATATAAACTCCGGCCACATACAAGTCGATAATATAAAACTCAAATGAACGGAAGCGTATAAGTACTTGGGTGCAAATTTAAACTGCTCCAACATGCTGAGACTGACTGACTTTCTACCCCACCAGGACATCACACAAGCGATAAACACCTGATGACACGATGTGCCAATATGTGGGTGAGAAGGTCCCAGAAACCGCGTTCAGCCTTTAGGCCATATTTATGGCCAGACTATATTGCGGCCCCTGGCAAAAGCCAGAGCAGGGCTTCAAATAAAAAAAAAATGCATCCTAAAAAGGACGGGAAATATATGATAGAACATGCTGAGAGAAGAAATACAATCTATAATACAATACTATGCCCTTCACATCTGCTAAAATCAAAGTGTCTGTGTCGCAACACCAAGATCTACTTCCCCTTTTCGAGAAACTCATAACAACAAAAACAATTTTAATAAAAAAAAAAAAAAAAAAAATAAAATAAAAAAAGATCAAAATATATAAAACGTTGATAAGACCAATCGTTTCATATGGCTCTGAAACTTGGAGCACAACTAACAGAGATGAAGCCTTATTACAGGTTTTCGAACACGTTCTTAAGACGAACTTTAGACCCATCAAAGATGCAAAATAGCGAGGAATGAAAAGTTAGAAGCATCAACGAAATTCATAGTCTGTTTAAATCACCGTTGATCACTGGCATCATTAGAGCTAATAGACTGAAATTTTTGGCGCATATTGAGAGAATGTCAGATGACAGAGAAGTTGAGTCAAGAATCGACATCACAGCACTCGGGACACTCCCACAAGCGCTCCGTCCCCATCTTCAGCAGCAAGCAAAGAGTTAAAAT